TGGGTTAGAACATGTTCCTTTAGCTTGGAGGAGTTATTACCCACCTTCTGAAGCCTACTTCTGTCAATCTGTCAAACTCATTCTCCATCCAGTTTTGTTATCTTGCTGGCAAGTTGTGATCCTTTGGAGAAGAAGCGTTCTGGTTTTCGGAATTTTCAGCCTTCTTGAGCTAGGTTTTTCTCATCTTTGTGGATTTATCTACCTTTGGTCTTTGATGTTGGTGACCTTCACATGGGGTTTTGTGTGGATGTCCTTTTGGTTGACATTGATTCTGTTCTCTTCTGTTTGTTGGTTTTCCTTCTAGCAGTCAGGCCCCTCTGCTACAGGTATGCTGGAGTTTGCTAGAGGTCCACACCAGACCCCATATGCCTGTATCACCAGTAGAGGCTACAGAACAGCAAAGATTGCTGCCTGTTCCTTCCTCTGGAAACTTCGTTCCAGAGGGGAACCTGCCAGATGCCTGCCAGAGGTCTCCTGTATGAGGTGTCTGTCAATCCCTGCTGGGAGGTGTCACCCAGTCAGGAAGCCCGGGAGTCAGAGACACACTTGAGGAGGCAGTCTGTCCCTTAACAGAGCTCAAGTGCTGTACTGGGAGATCCACTTTCTTTTCAGAGCCAGCAGGCAGGAATGTTTAAATCTGCTGAAGCTGCGCCCACAGCCACCCTTCCCCCAGGTGTTCTGTCCCAGGGAGATGGGAGTGTTATCTATTAGTGCCTGACTGGGGCTGCTGCCTTTCTTTCAGAGATACCCTGCCTGGAGAGGAGGAATCTGGAGAGGCAGTCTGGCTACAGGTGCTTTGCGGAGCTGCAGTTGGCACTGCTTAGTTCAAACTTCTTAGCAGCTTTGTTTCACTGTGAGGGGAAAATAGCCTATTCAAGCCTCAGTAATAGTGGACACGCTTCCCCCCACCAAGTTCAAGCATCCCAGGTCAACTTCAGATTGCTGTCCCCATGGAGGTGGGATCCACTGAGGTAGACCCCTTGGCTTTCTGGCTTAAGCCTTCTTTCCAAGAAAGTGAACAATTCTGTCTTGCTGGCATTCCAGGCCCCACTGGGGTATGAAAAAAAAACCTCCTGCACCTAGCTCAGTGTCTGCCCAAATGGCCGCCCACTTTTGTGCCTAAAACCCAAGGCCCTGGTGGCATCAGCACCCGAGAGAATCCCCTGGTCTGTGGGTTAGGACGACCTTGGGAAAAGCATAGTTTCTGAGCTGGAATGCACCATTCCTCACGGCACAGTCTCTCACAGCTTCCCTTGTCTAGGAGATGGAGTTCCCCAACCCCTTGTACTTCCTGGGTGAGACGATGCCCCACCCTGCTTCGGCTTGCCCTCCATGGGCTGTACGCACTCTCTAACCAGTCCCAGTGAGATGAGCCAGGTACCTCAGTTGGAAATGCAGAAATCACACGCCTTCTGCGTTTATCTCACTGGGAGCTGCAGACCAGCTGTTCTTATTCGGCCATCTTCTGGCATATACCATTTTACTTTTCTTTCACAGCATAAAAATCTTCAACAAATAGCTCAACTGAAATTTAATTTAAGAATACAAAGTTGGTTTCACATTTTAAAATCAAGGAGTATAATTCAATATATAGACAGAATAAAGGAGAAAACCAACAAGATCATTTCAACCAGTGTAGAAAAGGCATTTGACAAAATTCCACACTTTTTCATGATTGAAAAAAGAATATCTAAAAAAGTAGGAATGGAAGAGAACATCCTCAGTGTGATAAAGTAAACTACATCTAATATACTTAATAAGGACATAATGAACATGTTCTCCCTATGATTAGGAACAAAGCAAAGGTATATATTCTCATGATTTCTATTTGAGATGTGCTGAAGGCCCTAGCCATTTCCTGCATTGGAAAAAGAAATGAAAGGTACAAAGTTGAAAAAACAGAAGTAAAACAGTCTTTATTGACTCCATACATGATTATTTATATATAAAATCCTCAAGAATCTACAAAACAAGTACTAGAACTCAGGAGTGAATTAATCAGGGTCACAGGACACAAGTGCTATATAGGGAAATCAATTGTATGTTTATATACAAAAAGCAAATGACTGGCAAATGAAATTTCAAATTCATTTTCAATTGTGTCAGAAGGCAAAATACTAGGAATATAACAAAAAATGTGCAGGGCTTCTAAAATGAAAACTATAAAACATTAAGAAAGAAATTAGGCAAGGCCTAAATAAATGGAGATACATATCATGTGAGTAGACATAATCAATATCATTCTTCTGAAATTGATCTATAGATTCAACACAATCCAAGTTAAACCCTCAACACCTTTTTTAATAGAAAATGATAAATGTATTCTAAAATCTATATAAAAAAGCAAAGGCCAAACAAATCTTGACCAAAACTAAAGTTGAAGAGTTTCTTTACCTGGTTTCAAGACTTACTCTAAATCTGCAGTAATCAAGATAGTGTATTATTGGTATAAGAATAGACAAACAGATTAATGGAAAAAAAAAAAAAAGAATCAATGGACAGTCCAGAAATACAGCCTCACACACATATGTTTATGATCAGCTGATTTTCAATAAAATACCAAGGCATTTCAGTGAAGAAAGGATGATCTTTAATAAATGGTGCTGAGACAATTGGATAAACACAGAAAGAAAAGAACTCCACGCGCTATGTCACACAACTTACAGAAACTGATTTGGTATGTACTAAATGTAAAAACAAACTATAAAGATGTAGAAGGAAACATAGGAAAGTATTTGTGCAACTTTGGCCTAGGTAAGGATTCTTTAGGACACAGAAAGCACTAGTATAAATAATGGTAATGTGCATTTCGTGAAAATTCACCTGCCTTTTGCTCAAGAATAGAGGCTCCAGAAGGATAGGAACTTGGTCTTTTTCATCACTGTCTCCCTGATGTACTCCCAGCAGTTTTCCTGGCTCAGTCTTTGTTGAATATGTGAACAAATGAATGAATGTTCCTGTAGTTCCACATGACGTGATAGTATACTCAATTATTCCTCTGTTTGGAGTTTGATTCTTAACTATTTAGACTAAAAATATGTAGTTTGGCTGGGTGCAGTGTCTCACGTCTGTAATCCCGGCATGTTGGGAGGCCGAGGCGAGCGGATCATCTGAGGTCAGGAGTTCTAGACCAGCTTGGCCAACATGGTGAAACTCCATCTCTACTAAAAATACAAAAATTAGCTGGGTGTGGTGGCAGGTGCCTGTAATCACAGGTACTCAGGAAGCTGAGGCAGGCAAATCACTTGAACCTGGGAGGCAGAAATTGCAGTGAGCCACTATTGCGCAATTGCACTCCATCCTGGACAACAAGAGCAAAGCTCCATCTCAAAAAAAAAAAAAAATCGTTTTATTCATGAAAGCACAGTAACCCTTTAATAAAACTGTGATGGATGAGTTTTTGGTTAATGCAGCCCCTCTTTTTATTCCCTTTTCCTTTCTAGAATCCTCATAGTCCTCCTTTTTATTTCTCAATCAGAACTTGAAGAAGAGACCTAATAGCATCCCAGATGACAATATTTTCCAAACACATTTGATTCATGTACCCCATTAGTAAAATATTTGTACATACTTGCCATATAGGGACATTTATTTTGAAAATATATAAATATGTTACTATACTACTGGAAAATGAGATGTGCACAAAAATAATGTTTTAAGAAGATGAGGTGGAATTTCTAATGTTTTCTTCCTGCACTTCAGTGGATTGTTGCATATCATTCCTCCTCCCCATTTGTTCATCCCACTCTGAAGACACTGCCTTAGGGTAAATGCAATACCACGTTTACGTATATGTATATACATCCGAGTATAATACTGCAATAATGTTAATACTTCTGCATTTTAAACATTAGCTCTGACTATGGATTGAAAGACTTTGCTTTTTAAATCAATTTATATCATTTAGTGCAAGTAGGGTGGAATTTTTAGATCTGGGGTGTACTCTGAAATCATCTCACCTAATTTTTACTGTATTTATTCTTAACATTATTTAATGATAGTTTTTTTCACTGAAAGATATGTAGAGTATTTTAGAGGGAAGCAATACTGATATTAGAAAAGTGGGAAGGTAGAGGAATGGAAGTGCTATAGAAAAGACAATGCCAATTTTAAAAACAGTTAAGTACATTATAAATATTGACAACAGTGCATTTGAATGAAATGTTGTCTTCTTGGGGGATTATAAAATATAGAAAATTAGCAGTGTAATGTGTCTAAACAAACTTTTCCCCTCATAATGGGGAAAAATCATTCTCAAAAAGACAGTTTTTAAAGAAGGATCAATTCTATAATAGAGCAGGCTGAGACAGGTTTGGAGACTTTAAGCCTGCTGTGTTACCTCTGAGACCTAAAGGAAGCAGAACATAAAAATAAGCCTCTATCAATTTGAAGCAAACCTAATCTTCGTGATCATGGTCGTGGTCTAAATCTATTAAAGGTGTTCAAATTCAGTGTCGTTGGTATCACTGTGGATTGACCTGAATAGTGAGCCATAAAGCTGTGTATTATAATTCTGGTTGGAAGATATGTGCTTAGGAAGTGAAACCGACAGCCAGTGTTTTGTGTCTGTCTCTAAGCAGACTAAGAGCCTATATAAAATGACAGATGCATTTTTAGGGAAAGAAACCCATAATGTTTTCCTATTTAGTAGGTGACAGTATGTCCCAAGATAACACAAGCTTAAGGGGCCGGAACAAGTATGGTTATTAAAGGCTAGCAGTTTCTCAGTTCATCCAAATTGAATTTTTTCATAGGCTAGAGGACTGTGGAAATCTAGTGTAGAGTACTGAAATAAATTAGCATATTAAGTGAATTTATATATTCAGGCTTCTGAGCACTTTGAATTTAAGGAAGAAATTTTATTACTTCTTGAAAGAAAAAGGCAATTCTTAAATTCTGTGTTTGATCTTCCTGTTAAAAAGGGTGTATATGATAAATTACATCATTGTGATGATTATCCAAAGAAGTGGTTATTAAATTGATTCTCCCTATTTTTTCAGAATTACTGATTTAGGGAACATCAAGCGAAGATTATATTTATCAACGGTCCATAAGGAACTATCCTCAACTCCTCTTCATGCAAAAATTCCACTCTTTATGATCAAACGTAAGATTGTAAGTATCACATGAATGTTGCCTAAAATATTATATTCAATTCAGCAAATATTAATTATGGGCTGACTCCATATGTGAGACACTTTGTTAAGTACCATGGTGGTATAAAAAAATGAATGAAATTCATGGCCTTCCTTCCCCTCTCTTGAAAGAGCTTAACATTTAAGTGAAATAACATAATTTGAACACCTATAAAATCACCAAAACTGTGGTACAAAGCACAGTGGAGAGAGAAAGTGCTATTGGTACTATGAACGTGAAAGGAATCCATCTGACTGGGGATGGGGGAAGGCTTGCTGAAGGAGATAGCACTTAGAGTGAACTTTGGAGGACTCTAAGATTTGAACAGTAAGAGAAAGGAAGCCAAGCATTCCAGCTGAAGCAACAGCATGGGCAGAAGCATGGAGGCTGGAAAGAGGTAACCTCCCGAGAACAGCAAACAATTAATCATGGTTGCCAGGTTGATAGAGAGCCCTAAAGAAACATTAATCTTACAGTACAAGAGCCTGATACGGGTTCAGAAATTTTAAGTATGTTGTGTAACTTCTGAAGGGCCTGATTTTCCTGACAGGTCTTTGTCAAACTTCAGCCATTTCTGCATTACTCTCAGTACCCTGTTTATGTACTACCCATTCTGAAGTGCACTTGATACTTTCCTTTAAATCAACTCTCTTCTTTTTTTTTCTTAAATTTATTTTTAAAAGAAAACTTTATATTAGTTTTGTAAGTGGAAAACCAGTGTAATTTTCCAAAAATGCAACATAAAAATAAACATACTGAAAACAAAACGATATTTTAAACTATAACTAGGAATTGTTTCTAGTTTAAGGTTCTGTCCTGAGTGCTGCTGTTTGTTAAAAAGAGTTTATCAAGGATTAGATACATGTTCGAGCATTCTCTCTGTCACAGTTAGGACTGAAGGAAAACTGATAAAGGGACATTTTCATTCCGGGATCCAGAGTTATTTAATGCCACACCCATATACCATCTAAAATCATTTCACAAATGGTATATGTTCCACTCTTTGAGAACTACCGTGGTAGAGAAAAGGAAGCCATTAAAGCTTTTGGGCTAGGAAAGGACCACACAGTCACTTCCGTGTTTCAGGAAGATTAATCTGATAGTAATACTTGCAATGATTTGGAGCGGGTAGAAATTGGAAGTGAGGAAGCTATTTGCAATTATCTTGATTAGGGTTAGTTAGGACTGGTTGGGGGAGCGGTGGAGAAATGGTTGTGAAGCAACATCAGAAACTTATAGTCAGATGAGCTAAGACATATATGTAAACAGACCTTTTCCGTAGAGTGTGGTACATTCTGTGAGAGCAAGAATCAGAGTGAACTACAGAATAAAAGGAGAGTGGTCAGAGAAGGCCCTCAGAAGAAGTGAGTGCCTGAGCTTGGCCTTGAAAGACAGGAAGCATTGACCAGTTGGAGAATGGGAGAGGAGTGCTCCTGGAAGACAACAAGCAGCATTAAGGGCAGCTGCGTGAAGTGAACAGACAAGCCAAGTGATCTAGTGTTGCTGAAGAGAACCAAGGAGGTTCCAATAAGAGAGAATAGTTGAGAATGGAAAGTATTTAGAGAGCATGGTAATCATAAGTAACTTCAATAAGAAGAGACAGGGCCATGAGCTAAGAGAATGGAAAATGCCAGCATTGAGTGCCTACGGACCATTTCTTTCAGTAGGCAGATCCACTGGGCTTGCTGTTCTTGTAGACATAAGTAAGAATGGGAATTAAACATAAATTTGGAGATTGGCAGCCCTGTAATAAAAATGAGCTGGATTATGGAATAAATGGATGGTTTCTGTTTGTAGTAGAAACTTTAAAAATTCATTTAATATTAAATATCCATAAACGCTTGAACATTAAATGGGAATACTCCAGTTATTGGAGTTAAACCATTTAAGACATTTAGGGAAACCTTACAAATAAAATTGTATTCATCCTTTTGTGTTTAGGTATTGATTTCCTTATTCATGTAAGATTGTTCAGAGTTCAGTATTAGGTGGTTTCTAAGAGTTAAAGCCAATGTGAGACAAATACACTATTCAGTGTGTAGTTAATAAATCATATTTGTCACTGCCTTGCTTTTGTGAGTTCAGTCACCCTTGTCAGTTAACTAACTCTGAAGTCTAGATATTTCATCAAAATCTGAGCATTATGTATGTGGCTATAACCCCCACACACAATGTACATTCATGGAAATCCAATATTTGAAAATTAAATATTATCTATTATAAGTAAACCACACAAGTATCTTGATGAGATAGGAAGTGAACTTGACTGAAAGATCTTTCATATTTGATAAATGAGTTTTTCAGATGAATATGTGTTATGTGTTAACAGTGCCGGGTATGTAATGACATAAACAATTTAGTATTTAAACTATAAAGAAAAGAGCTGTAATAGGTACCGTGGAACAATGTTTCCTAACCCTCTTCAATTCATCTGTCTTCCTCATGTTTCTACCCTGGGAAAATGGCTCAATTAAAATAAAAAAAGGAGAGGCCAGGTACAGTGGCTTATGCCTGTAACCCCAGCACTTTGGGAGGCCAAGGCTGGCGGAGGTCAGGAGTTCAAGACCAGCCTGGCCAACATGGAGAAACCCTGTCTCTCCTAAAAAATACAAAAATTAGCTGGGCATGGTGGTGTATGCCTGTAATCTCAGCTGCTCAGAAGGCTGAGGCAGGAGAATCACTTGAACCCCGTAGGCAGAGGTTGCAGTGAGCCAAGATCGCACCATTGCTCTCCAGCCTGGGCAACAAGAGCAAAACTCTGTCTCAAAAAAAAAAAAAAAAAAAAAAAAAAAGATGTAGACAAGAAAGTTAATATGAAGAAATCATATTAGCGACTACTCTAAGTGACTTCAGCTCATGTTATGCTAAATTTTAAACAGCGAAACAGTCATAGCATATCTAGAACTTTCCTTTTGAATATGGGTAAATCTAGAAAAAAATTGAAGCAATGCTAAACAGTAAGAACCAGATAGGGCATTTGTTTCCATGGTGTTCTCCTCAGGCCCATATGCCAACCCAGTGAGATCATCAAGTCAAAATTACTTGTAATATGGTCTAATTACTCTATATTTTATTACATATATAACATGTAAATAGTATGTAGGGGTTAAGAACATAGAATCTGGATTCCGACACTTACTAGTTTTGTGATCCTGTGCAAAGTTCCTGTTTCATTTTCTTCATCTATAACATGCAGGTAATATGAAGTATGCATACCTTTAAGGTTGTTGTGGGGATTTACACGAATTAATAAGGATAAAGCTCTTAGAATAGTGCCTGGCGTAGAGTAAGCCCTAGATATGGATTGTAAGTTCTATCTGATCTATAACTGCTACTTCTTCCAGGAAACATACTGTGATTTCCCCTCTGCGGATTAGATATTTTGGACATAGCTCATCATTGCTATTCATAGTTTCATAACCCTCATAATGTCTCTCCACCCTGCACTTTAATAATCTGTTTACTTGCCTTTTTTTCCCAGTAGATTATAAGCATATCATCTCCAGTCCCTATCAGTGCATGGCATATAGTATGTGCTCAATAAATGTTTACTGAACAAATTGGCAAGTCTTATCTCCTGACATAGGAGAAAAAATAATGAGTTTATCATGGCCAAATTATATAAACTTTTTAAATGTGCTTGGTGATTCCACAAATGCCCAGAAATATTCAGATATTAAGAAATTTGGTTTGAAAACTTGCTCTTATTCCTCCTAATCCAAGAGGTGCTTGGTAGCAGAGGTCTTTCATTTCCACTACTACTGTACTCTATTCCCAGGGAGCCCTTATTTAATTAAAGCTGACTTGTGTTTTGGGGGAAATTTCCAGAAAGCAGCAAGGTGGCAGAAAGCATCTCACCTATTCAAGATGCCATCCCTAGAGGCCTTCCTGGTGTTGATGTTGTATTGGCCCCAGTTCTCTGTTTTTGCCAAAACATTTGTCACTTCTTTATACCCCTTAGGAACTAGTGGATATTTTGTTGGCAGACCCCAAAACAGCATTCTAAAAGCATTTCAGCTAGCATTTAAAAATCAGGAAATTTCATGTAAAATTCCTCATTTCAGACCTCCCCTGAAAAAAGTCAGATTTCTCAACATTGAACCTGCTTTATCGCATACAAGCATTGGGTGGGAGCTAAGTAGTAATGCCACATTTCTAAGAAGCTATAAGCTCTCCTGTGAAGTTGAATCCTCTTTACTCATAAGGTATGCAAGTGGACTCAGACCCTTCTTGCTTCACTCATCTCAGTTTTCTGCCAGGGCCTTCTAGGTGTTCATCGGGAACCCTTGATTTACAGGATAATTGCCAAATGGTCCACTTCGCCTTGGTTTTTTAGCTAAAGCCTTTACATAGCCCAAGGCTGCAAATAAAGTTAATATTCGTCTAGCCACACCAATATGAATATTTATATTTAAACCATTTTATAAAAATGCCTTTTAATGTTTAACCTTTCAAATAAAAATTTTTATATTGCATGTTATTTTTAGCTGTGAAGATTCCCTTTAACATGTAAGTTATAACAATTTATGCTTTTAACTTGGGTTTTCAATGGCAAGATCAATTTTAAAAATTAAAAACTATCAGATTAAATAGTAGAAGTACCCACTTAGTTGAGACTCACTGGAATCAATCTTACTACTATAATGTAATTTCAATTAGTTGATGCTGTTTCAGATGAACATCAATGTCTCGTTACCAAAGTATGTGTTAATGTACAGTAAATTTAATTCCATTTGAACAGGAAGTTCAATTATGAGATATCATTCAGCATAAATCATTCATTGGAGATATAACAAAGTGATATGATAAATTACAATGCCAAAATCTTTTAGTAACCTCTAGAATTCAGATACCCAGTGTTTGTCATTTAAATGGATAAAATTACTCTTTAGGAGCTGTTCCATCTTGAACCACAACTCTAAAGGAATATTTTATAGCTTTTATTACAAACTAGAAGTCTGGTATAACGTTTTTAAAGC